GCTGGGCCTTCAGACCACCTGCACTGGCAGAGGAGCCCCCTGGAGCCCCAAGGCTGGGTGAAGGACTCTATCTTCCTTGTTTAGACCAGTTAGAAATCTGCTGTCCTTGGCCCCAACCCATGATGCCCAGCTCCAAGAGACAGATAGATGGAGGGGCTCCCTGCCACCTGGGCAGTGACTACCCATGCCACCTTCCAACTTGCATGCTCTAGCCAGTACTGCCAGCCTAGCCCACTGGGAGAACAGTCTCAAGGGGCCTTCATGGGCTGAGGAAGCCATGGTGACCCTCCAGGGGTGCCCAGGCATTCTGAAGAGTAGTGTAGGCTGTCCGGAGACAGGTAGCTGGGAGGCGCGTGGAGACGTGGGTGGCTCCAGCAGTGGGAGTGCTGCTGTCTGGCAGGGTGCCTCTGAGGGTGCCAGTCCCCCACTGTCCTGAGGGAAGGCCCTGGAGGCCGATGCTCAGGGCACAACTGCCCCTCCAGGGCTCCACTCTACCCAAGTCAGCACACATGAAAGAAAATCGAGGCGCTGCTCGGGTTTCAGTGGGGACAGGTTCAAAGCAAGGAATCCAGCAGCACCGCACGCCGCCCAGCCCGAGTCCTGCCGGCGATGCTGCTCCACCTGGCAGAACGCCTGTCACTCAGGCTTTGGGGTTATTGAAAGATCAAACTCGGTCCTGCCTGTTCATTCCCTTAATCCTATTTTCTACATGGCTTTATTATCTGCTCGGGCTTCTCTGGGAGAGACAGCTCCAGGATCGTCTCATCCATTCACTTCCTCCACCAAGACAAGGCTTCTGTCCTCATGCCCGTGGTCCCCAAGCTTCCCTGGGGAAGGAGGGAAGTTTCTACAGGGCCTCCTGGTTCCTCCCGGGGGGAGGGGCAGGCCAGCAGAGGAGCAGTGGGCCCTTTCCTCTGGCTCCAGTGAGCCTGGAGGCCACGCTGCCTGCGGCCCACTCTGGCTTGGGCTCTTCTGGGCGAGTAGATGTAGTGTGTTTGGGGGGTCGGTAAGATCGAAGGTTTTCTCAAGAGAAGGACATCCAAAGAAATCAGTGCCTTCAGATTCCCCTGGACCACGAGTCTGAGGCTGGGAGTACCCCGACCAGGCAGCCACATGCAGAAGAAGCCACTCGGGTGACCCACCTTTTCCCTGAAGCTGGCTGGGGAGATGCGCCCTGACCACACCCTGCTCCACGTGCCAGCCTGGGCCCTGGTAGCTGATGGGGCCAAGCCAAGGCCTTCAGCACCAGTGCCTGTCTGTGTGAGCTACAGCCCTAGTGCAAGAACCTTCTCTGCCATGGTCAGAGGTCCCCTCTCACAAGGCCACAGACAGTGTGAGCCTCACAGATCCCACGGTACTAGCACGCAAGGTACCTGTGGGTGGGGAGGAGAAAGGATGATGTGGCTTGTCCCGGCTCAGTGCCCCCAAGGGGACGGGTACCCTGGGGGTGCTTTTCACAACAATTTTCCTCGCTAGTTCTGTTAGGCAGAGAGAATGAATTCCCACTTTACAAATGTGGAGACAAGCCCAGGGAGGCCCCGGATCACAGAGCTGGGAAGCTGCAGAGCCGTCGTGGAGCGTGGCCTCCCGGCACATGCCCTGGCAAAAGGAGGAAACCCTCCCACCACAGTGGCATCCAGAGCTGGAAGGGCGGTGGCAGGTGTGGTGGGGTATGCTCACGTGAGCTCAGCCTCGCAGTCATAGGAACCCTACATTGCAGGCACTCAAGAAATGTCCGCCAGGCCAACAACAGCGAGAAGTGACCGCTGGCCCCATGAGCAAAAGCAGAAGTGGGAGCACCTTCCACTCCAGCCCACACCAGCCCTTCCAGTACTGAGCTGTGAGCCCCTCCATTCTGGAGGGAGAAAGGCAGAGAAATCAGAGGAGACTTCACAGGAGGCTGGGTCTGGAACCAGTGTGAGCCGACAACATAGGTTGCCCATGCAGCCATTCCTCAGTCTCCTGCTGTACTGGTCATTCCATTCCCTTTGCCAGGGTTGGGCCAGGGCAGCCAGTGGCACACAGCTGCAGAAGTCTGGTCAGGGGCTCCTCATTTCAGAGAGGGTGGCAGGTAGCGCAGGGCCTCTGCCTTTTCCCCTTCCCAGTTGCTGGAGCTGCCCTAAACCAGCCTGAGAGCACAAGCAAAAGCTAGCACGGCCAGGATGGGGAGGCGGCAGCCGAGCAGACCCAGGCCCTGGCTCACTGAGCCCCAGCCCCACCCCTGTGGAGGCATGCAGCTGGGTGCTCCCTGTCGTCTAAGGCCGCGATCATCCCAGGACTTCCAGCTGTTTTGACAGAGGTGGCGGCTACCTGACCTGCTTTGTGAGGACCAACTGACGACCTAGGGCTTCCGGCCCGGCAGAGGCGGTGGCACGGAACGGCTAGTCCTGCATTCAGCTCACCTGCACAGCACCAGGAAGCAACCGTGCCCTTGAGAAGGGCAGGCCTCCATCCCACCGCCTGGGGAGTAGCAAGTTTCCTAACCCTGTCCTTCGATGAACCTCCCGAGAGAAAAGTCAGCAAAACCATGTTTCCCATGAGGGTGTGCTTGCTTTTCTCAACAGTGCTTTGCCCGTAAGAACACATTTTGCATGGTTTCTTGGTTCTCCTCTCGCTGAGGTAGATGTTCACATCTATATCCTGGAACCTGTCCCCTTCCACACTGGCTGCAGGCCCCACCTCTCACCACCTCAGACAAGCCCTGAATCTTGAGCCACTTAACTCGCCCTGTGACTTGTAGGCAGGCAAGGTAAGCAACCATTCTGCAACTCAGTTTTAGTTTCCTTATCTATAAAAAGGATGCCTGGCTCACAGGCCCCCTGCGAGCGTTAGGCAGTGAGGACAGACAGAGCCCGTGCTCTGCGGCGCCAGGGCTGTGGCTGACGCTGGCCCAGAGTCTCGGCCCAGAATGGCCGCCCTCTGTCCTTGTTGCTGGCAGTGTGAACGCTGGGGCGACCGGCTTGCAAGTGAATCTTGGTAGTCATTATCCACATCTACCACGCACACAGCCTGTGGCCCTGCAAATGTACTCTTGAGGAATTTGGTCCAAAATTCCAGACTCCCACCCACACATCAGAATGGATCACAGATTGCTCACCGCAGCACTGTTAAAATCAACAGATGATAGAAAAGGAAATCAGAAAACAGTGATGGCAACAAACAATGAACTAGCTAGGAGACTGAAGCATGACCGGCTACAGTACTGAGGGGAAATACTTGAGGATGGTACTTCCCATCTGTAGGAGGACCTGCATGTGCATTTTATACAAAGATTTCCAGAAAAGGATTCAGCAAAACTTAACGGCTAGCACCAGGTAGCAGCAGGGAAGGCCCTTCACTTATAAACCTCTGTCCTCGTACCTGGAACTTGCACTATTTTCCCAGCTAAAATAGAAGTTCTAAAGCCTTTTCTGGTTTTGTTTTGTTTTGTTTTGTTTTTTAAGACAAGAGCATTGCTTTTCCTCATGTTCTGTGTAAGACAAAATGCACAGCATTTGCAGTGTCTCTGTCCTCCACTCCCAGGATGCCCCTTCATCTCCCACAGCAAAGACCCAAACACATTCTCTCCTAAGTATCTTTAGCCATGGAATATTCTATTTCTGAAACACATGATAGCCCCAACTCTTGGTGCAAACAAAGACACTATGATTTGGGACAGGATTCATGTACCTGCAGCATGCTAAATTTTTCTAAACTTTCACACTCACATGTTTGGCAATCTGTGGGACAGTTTCTTAAGTGTCTCGCGGATATAGGAGGGACTCAGTACAGTTACAAGATCGTCTAAGTACTGCAGGACATTTTCCTGACAGGAGCAGTTCAAAGAATGCTATGTAAGTACTGACAGAGTTTCTCCTCTGTTTAAGATGCTCTTAGTGAAGCCCAAAAGCAGCCATTCAAAAAGTCAGTCGCAAAGCACGCGTTCCAAGGTTGCTCACAGCACCTCGGATCTAAGCTGGTCAGTGCACACTGGGCCAATAGAAGTCCTGAGTTTCCACTTGTGCAGTTTACACATCATGAGCTTCTTAGGTAATGTTTTATCAGAAAAGAAAGACACACTTTCATTGTCTGGATCAGCCAAAAATCCTCGAGCTGTGCATGAAAATAGTATCATCATCTCAAAAATAGTGCAGCTGCATTGTGGTTTCATCAAATGAATTTCAGCAACAGCTGGGTATTGCTTCCATATGACACAATGACAAGGTAAACCTTATTCTGATCATTTTCATTACAGGAGAAAGACAACTAATTGCTAATAAAAACTTCTGTTTGAAAGAAAATTAAACTACCACCCGTCTGATGGGCATTGAGCCACTTAAGATGCCCACATCGCATACAGAAGTGCCTAGGTTCAATACTCAGCTTCTGACGCACACCCTGGGGCGCAGTGGGCTCCAGCACTGGGGTCCTGGCCTGCCACGTCGGAGACCCAGATTGAGTTCCTAGCTTCTAGCTTCAGCCTGGGCCAGCCCTGGCTGTAGTCAGCATGTGGGTGGTGAACCAGCAGGTGGGAGCTCTCTTGGTTTCTTCTCTCAAATATAAAACAGCAGCCAAAAAGAAAAATCTCTTTTCACAAGTAAATCTTTAGGAAAAACTATCAATGGATTTTTTCAGACAAAAGGTACAGCTAACACTTTCCTAAGGAGATGAGGGAAAAGAAGACAAGACCAGAGCAACTGAGGTAGGAAGCATGAAAGAAACATCCGTGTTCCCTGCTGCTGTACGTTATGGCCTTTAAAACCTAGAACACGGGCCGAGGCTATGCAGAGTTCTTTGATTGCACACCCAGAGCACAACCAATAGAAGAAAATATTGGGCATCTGGACTACGTCAACATTTACAATTTTTGCTTTGCAGAGATGCTGTTAGGAGGATAAAGATAAGCTCTAGGTTGGGAGGTCGCTGCAAATGGTGTATCTGACAAAGAATACACAGATGACAAATATGCAGCCACTCCAGCCCGCCCCACTGGAAGCCACAGTGGCTCAGGAATCTCTTACCTGTTGAGGTCCCAGATTCTCAGGGGTGAGAAGTGCCCACAACAAGCCGTTCCAGTCACAAAAGAGCTGCGAAGGAAGAGGAGGGCAGAGTGAGATCTGGCTTATGGGAGCTCGCGTGGACAGCTACACAACTGCAAAAGCCGTGCCCCTCCCTGGGAGACAGGGACTCTGGGGTTGACACAGCTGCTGAGAGCCGCAGCCCCTGAGGACCTACGGGGTCCACGCTGCTTGGGCCAGTGGTGCTGGCTCTGCACGCCAGAAAGACGGCTCTCTGAACGGGCAACTCAGAGGTCTGCTCGAGAGGCCAGAAAGCTCCCGGGGGCTGGAGAGGGATGCCCTGGTCACAAGTTGGGGTGGCTGGAAGCATTTTTAAAATGATTTATTTATTTACTTGAGAGGCAGAGTTACAGAGAGGACTTCCATTAGCTGCCTCACTCCCCAATGGCTGCAATGGCCAGAGCTGGTCTGATCTGAAGCCAGGAGCTTCTTCCGGGTCTCCCATGTGGGTGCAGGGGCCCAAGCACTTGGCCCATCCTCTGCTGCTTTCCCAGGCCATTAGCAGGGAGTTGAATCTGAAGTGGAACAGCCAGGACTCGAACTGGTAGCCCATATGGGATGCTGGCGCTGTAGGCAGAGGCTTAACCTACTACACTATAGCACTGACCCCTTCTGACATCTTTTTAAAATTTATTTATTGTGCCAGTGCTGTGGCTTAGCAAGTAAAGACACTGCCTGTAACGCCAGCATCCCAATGTGGGTGACAGTTCATGTCCCTGCTGCTCCACTTCTGATCCAGCTCCCTGCTAATGGCCTGGAAAAGCAGCAGAAGATGGCCCAAGTGTTTGGGTCCCTGCTACTCATGTGGGAGACCCAGATGAAGCTTCTGGCTTTGGCCTGGCTCAGCTCTGGTCTTTGCAGCCATCTGGGGAATGAATCAGTAGATGGAAGATATTCTCATTCATTCATTTCTCTCTCTCTCTCTATCTCTTCCTCTCTGTAACTCTGCCTTTTAAATAAATAATTTTTTAAAATCGTTTATTTTTATTTGAAAGAGAAAGAGGTATTTCCCACCCACTGGTTCACTCCCCAAAACAGAAAGGGCTGGTTCAGGCCAAAGCCAGGAGCCTGAACTCAATTCAGGTCTCCTACGTGGGTAGTAGGGGCCCAAGCACTTGAGCCATCACCTGCTACCTCCCAGAGTGTGCATCAGCAGGGTGCTGGTGTGTAGTACAGGTGTCCCAGGCAGTGTCTTAACCCACTGGGCCTCTCTCCACCCCTAGAGCAATATGGCGCAGGCAAAGGCAAGCTAAAGGCACCAAACTGAGAAAAGGGAAGTAGGACAGGTGAGTCAGTCCCACGGAGGGGTGTCTGCTAGTGTGTGAGGGTGGGGAGGGTGAGGACTGCGGGGGCCAGGCAGCCAGGGCTGCTGGGAGTGAGCTGGGAGTCAGGCAGAGTCCTCTGAGGACAATGACAAATGCCCCGCGAGGAGGCAAGGGTGATACACTCACCGCATCGCCCCAGAATGTCTCTTCAACACCTCTAAAGGTCAACGCACGCAATCTGCAGAGAATCCTTTAGAGTGGCAGCGTAAGCACAGTGTGAAGGATCCGCGCACTGCGCCAGGGCAGCCCCTGCGCTAGGACCAGACCTTGGCCCCAGAAGCCAGACCACTCCTTGGTCCAAGGATGTGGCAGAGGTGGGGAGGGGAAGCTTTCAGGACTAGCAGGAGGGTCGAAAACAGTCTGTCATCCAGGATCCCTGGGCAGGGCTGCGCCATGTGCCTATAGGTGAGAAGGGAGACTGGGCACACTGATGACGTCAGCCCAGGGGGGCTGCTGCCCAGCTGCCTTGCCCAGCACCTGTGGCTCTCTGCTCCCACGGTGCTCAGCAGGAGCTGGATTTCCCCAGGAAAGGCTCTGAGGAAGCCAGTGGGTTTGGCCGGGTGGAGCTGACTGCCAGTTGCTGTCCAGGGAGCAGAGGGCAGGCACTGGTCAAGTCACTGGTTTGCAATCACAATTATAACGGAGGTATCTGCTTTTCCGCCCCGGGCTGCCAACAAGGCCATATGAGCGACCTGGGACTCTCCTATCTCAAGCCAAGACCTTCCAGGGATCTGCTCCTGGCCTGTTACATTGCCCGGTCACTCTTGCCACAGCGCAACAACTCCCGGCCTGGGAAGCAGCCACAGGATACTGAAGAGCCAAATGACAAAGTCAGGAGGTGTAGCCTTCACCTCCCTGGACATTCTTCTCTTTAGGGTAATCCATTAATAACTAGGAAAGCCAATTACCTGGGCTGGAAACATAATAGACACTTGGAAACCATTCGAGCGGGCAAGTGGGCTCTCAGACTTTGGAGGGGTGGGGGCCAGGTGAAGGGCGCCAGCACAGGCACAGCTGCCTCCTGAGGAGGCCTCTGACTGGTCCCAGGCCTAAATCAATAGAGAGAGGGCGTGAGGAACCTGGAACTTTAATCCCTGCCACTCCCACAGCTCTGACCTCCCAGCAGGTGGGGCAGGGCTGGGCTGGGCTGGGCTGGGGGCTGCAAACTCTCTTGCTAGGGACTTGTGCGTCCTCTCTTCAGTCCACCCACCCCTGGCCCTGCCACCAGGACAAGCGTCCCTCACCTCCAACCTCGTGAGAGGCTTTCTTCATTGCTGTGACACGATGCCCTAAACTTCCATTTCCACAACCTGCTTTATTTGCTTGCCTAACCACTGCACAAGAGGAAAGGAAGGGGAAGGGGGAGGATCTTCCTGGCACTTATGCAGACCTGAGAATTTAATCACATTTAATACTCAGTTTAAAAAAAAAATCCAGAGCCTGGCGCTGAGCCTCCACCTGCAGCGTTGGCATCCCATATGGGCACCAGCTTGTGTCCTGGCTGCTCATCTTCTGATCCAGCTCCCCGCTAAAGGCCTGGGAAGCAGTGGGAGATGGCCCAATTTGTTGGGCCTTTGGATCCACAAAGAAGATCTGGAAGAAGCGCCTGGCTCCTGGCTTTGGCCTGGCCCAGCCCTGGCCGTTTTGGCCATTTGGGGAGTGAACCAGCAGACAGAAGATCTCTGTCTCTCCCTCTCTCTATCTGTAGCTCTTCCTCTCAAATAAATAAATAAATGCTAAAAAAAAAAAAAATCCATCTGAGCAACAGTCAAGCAGAACTGAGCCAGGTCCTATTGGGGGAACACTCACCGGGATTCACACCCAAACCACAGGCTTGCCCAGGGCTCTTGGGGGTTGGACTGGCTTCACCACCACCCGTAACTTCTCTGTCTCCTCCCCACTCCCCCATTCCCACGGTCACTGGGAAGAATGAGGCAAAAACTGCAGACCAGCCACGTTCCAAGTAAGAAGATTTTAAAAGGCACGTCCAAGTGCGGTTTCCCCAGAGCGTACAGCCGACACGTGGAGCAGGGAGGCGAGAATTCCCCGCTCTGGAACACCATATCCCACAATGAGTCCATGAGGCAGAAGGAACAGAAAGCCACAGCCAAAGCTTCTGTGAACTGACTCCAGGCGCTGCAGCTGCACCCTGGACCTGTTGCCTACACACCCTGAGTCCTTTCTTGAGAAACACCAGGTGAGGTGCTTTGAAAAGGAGCCAGTGGGGTACGATTTGTGCACCACGCACACTGCAGCACCCTCAGTTCACCAACCTCTGTGGCAACTGCACCGGAACCTCGCACCCTGCTCCTGACCTGCTCCGAGAGCATCAGCCTGCGTCCTCCCAGGCCCTCTCTGAGCCTCACTATGGGGGCCCCAGCTAAGCAGCTCGCAGGTCAACCACATGAAAACAGGTACCAGTCCTGCTCTGCTGGCTCTCAGAATTTCCCATTACAAGGCTTCTGCTAGAACCTCCATTCAGAGTTGGAAATGACTCAGTTCCAACTCCCCACTCAGTGACAGCCCAGGGTCAAAGACGCCAAACCTGCAGGGAATAGGCAGAGGTAGGAGCTGGTGTCCCCAGGTAGGCTGGCCACCCTTCCTTTGAGTCCCTACCATGCTTGTGCACCAAACACACACTTTCTCTTCCTTTGCCATCATATACTCCAGTGCCTACACGGTGCCCAGCCCAGAGCAAGAATGGAAGGAAAGGGCCTTCCCGAGCCCACAGCCAACATGGGCTGGGAAGCCGGTCATGGCCCGGGAAGCCAGTCCCCTCAGCTGCTTTTCTCTTTTTTTGACTTAAAAAAGAATTATTGATTTATTTTCACGTATTTGAAAGACAGAGACAGATACAGACAGGGATCTTTCACCCACAACAGCCACAACAGCCAGGGCTGGGCCAGGTTGAAGCCAGGAGCGAGGGGCTCCACCAGGTCTCCCATGTGAATGGCAGGGACCCTAGCACTCGAGTCATCACCTGTAGTCCCCAAGGGTGTGGCTTCACAGGAAGCTGGAACAGAAGTGGAGCTGGGACTCAAACCCAGGCACTCTGATATGGGACGTGGGTGTCCCAAGCAGCACCTTAACTGCTGCACCAAAGACCCACGCCCCTCTGCGTCTTAAAAATACGATTCCCAAATCACAAAAGGTCCAAACCTCAGGGAAGCATACGCAAGCGTGTATTGCTGGGGAAAGAGAAGCACACCATGACCAGACAAGAGATCAACAGTTCCTAAAAATTACTGTCAAAATACACACGTGCGCGCGCACACTCCATCCGGTGGCTCCGGCAGAGTGTCTGAAGGCCCCGTGTTCTGTCGGCTCTGTTCTCTCTGAATCAGAAAGCCAGCCTCCTCCAATTTCTCACCCTGGCCCAGACGCTGCCCCTATCTTCAACCCACCTTACTTGCCCCTGCCAACAGCTCAGGTAAGCCTGGCATCACAGAGACCATTGCCAGGCCCAAGGAGCAGAAAGAGGAGCCCTCACACCAGAAGGTTTAGGGGCGCCACACCTAAGCTGAAGAGTAGAAAGTAACAAGACATAGAAAACAGGGATCAGCCAGCGTACCAGCTGAAAGGCAGGAAGGTGTAACCTGCTCAGGCCCAGTTCACACACTGGTAACTCACTGAGGGAGCACTCTCCCATCTAGTCCTCACAACACCAGGCAGTGGGCACCACGCTGCCCATTTCACAGATGGGCAAGCTGAGGCTCAGAGAAGCAGTGCCCATTGCTCTGGCTCACACAGGCACAGCAGCAGGACTGGAATCGGAGCGCAGTCAGCCCCGGCTGCAAGAGTGAGTCCTGCTGTGCCCCTAGCACTGGGTATAATGTCCAACACGTCCTAAACTCAAACGCTTACTGAATGAATGAACGAGTGAATCGACAATGCTTGCTGGAAGAAGCAAGCAGCCAGCGAGTGGCTCGAGGCGGGGCCACGGGCAGGGCGTGCTCGGCAGCTGTGCCCGTGGCTGGCCTGGAGCCGCCCAGCTGGCCCAGGTCCCAGCAGCTTCAGAGTCCGGGCTGACACACTTTGGCAAGGGAGGCCACCAGAGCTGTCACATCATTCACCAACATGCCCATCAAGTGTATTCAGTTCTCTTCAACCCGCATTGGCATTTTAATTACTGTTGGGTAAACTAATTTGTACAAATGAAGGCCAGGCTGCCTAATAGAATATGCAAGCTCTCTGACCTCTGACAGGCACTGACACGAGATACAAAGGCGGCCGAGGAAGGCTTTTTATCTGAGCCTTATTACTCTCTATTACTCCAATTAGTCAGGCTCCAGTGCTCCTAATTGGAGGAAAAATTGCAATTAAATCAATTTTTGATGGGCTGCAAGTGGGCTCCCGAACCGCCCTGCTTGTGAAACACTGATATTATAGCAGCAAAGGTCACAGGCCTCCTCGGCACCTGGGCGCCCCCGCCCCGATTTCCCTTGGCCCCCTCCTTAAATACCTCAAGAAAAATCCCTGCCCCTCCATGGGCCGGGCCACAAGGGTGGGAAGGAGGGAGTCATTAGGACATGTCAGGTCTCATTGCTGCTGCCGCCATCTGCTGCCTCCGCCGCTGACATCATTACAGCGGGTCCGTCCCCAAGCATGAATACAGTGCGAAGGTCACACAAACTCGCTTGGCGAGGGGAAGCCCGGAGTGGGCGCTGCGCTGGCAGCGCCGGCAGGGAGAGGCCGGTGGAGCGGGAACCGGAGGTCAACAGAAGTCAGCGAGGGGAGCAGCGCAGGCAGGGGCAGGCGCACGCGTGAGGCGGCCGCTTCCGAAGATGCAGCCGCCGGGGCACCCAGGGCCACCAAGGGGGTCGGCAAACATGTGTTGGGGAAAGGGGATAAAGACAAAGAAATCTGGCGCTCTCTGCAGCAAACAGCCCCCCTTGCAGCTGGGGAGACCTCCATCTGTATGTCGTACTCAGATGGAAGGCCGCGAGTCACACCGGTGATGGGGGACAGAGCGCGCTGTTGGGCGGCTGCTGTCCACAGTGGATCATCTAGAAAGGGGGGCAGTCCCTGGAACTGAAGCGGTAAAACCAGGGAGACGAAAGGAAATGCAACTCTGTCAGTCAAGCTAAGGATGAGTCCGAGAGGCCCATCTCAAGCTTGGATGAATGAAGGTCAAGGCAGATAAGAAGCTGCATCTCACACAGCACCAGGCATAGCACCGCCTCTGAAAGACGGTGCAGACAGAAAATAGAAATGCAAAAGTTGAGCTGGGGAAGGAAGATACATCTCGCCTTCAAGGGGCAAAAACATTAAACAAATGGCGGTCCATCCACTCGATGGACTATTACACAGTCATTTAAAATCATGTTCCCCAAGAGCACGGGCGACGCTCAGACGCACTATGATAAGGGGAGAAAACAGGATCCAGACACCATTACTTTAACTGTTAGAGCAGCCTGTGAGTAGGAAAGCACAGAGAAAACACTAAATGCTAAAAATGATTGTTTGGGCGGGAGAGCCAGAATTCTTTCTTCCAAATTTTCTTACTTTCTACATCTCCCTAATGAAGATTTGAGACAGGGGAAAAAGACAAAGAAATCTTGTTCTTTTTAAAGGGAAAAGCATTGTTTACATTTCATAAGAGAAAACACAAGATAATGAGACACCCCTGTCCATGACTCACGGCCAAGAGCAGGTGGACCTGACAACAGTGGTGACCCTGGCACAGCCTGGCTGAAGGGCTGACCCTGACTCATAGCTCCAGGGCGCAGAGATCAGAAGGGAGCTGCTCCACAGGCCGCAGCTTCCGCTTGGCACTGGCCAGCCGGCAGCGAGGCTGACTCCAAGTGGCAGAGGTTGGAATGGCTTTCCTAGTTACTGACACACTCACACACACGCGCACACACACCCCAGCCTCTCTCGGCCCAAGCACACCTGCACAGGAGGGCACAAGTGGCACGTAGAAGGTCAGGCTCTGGCCAGAACATCGAGGCTGGAGCTCCTCCTTACTGCGTTCCACTACAACTGCAACACACATGGAGGAGCAGTCCTACCTACAGAGACGCCTACAGAGAAACACGAAATGGTCTGT